CGGGTGCGAAGCCGAATTCGAAGAGGCCCCAGGCAACGTCCTTGAGCAGGTCGAAGCTGCCCCAAAACTTGCGCGGGAGCTGATCAGGGCAAGGGGCCCGGTCGCGAGCGACCCTGGCCGCGCGCGTCAATGAGGCAGCGGCAGGCAACGGAAGGCATGCTTGGGGGGCGTCCGAAGGGGATGCGAGCACCATGAAACTGTTCGAGGCTGGCTTGGCTGACGCGCTTGACCGCGAGGATCGGCTTCCAGCGATCCGTCAGCGCCTTCAGCATGCCGGGGGGGTGCTCGGCAACTGCCGCGCCCTGCGTGACATCGACGCCCTGCCAGCTGCAACCGAGGCGCGAATGGGGCCCGCAAGCGGCTCCGACGCAGTGGGCGCTGCTGCTCGAGGATGCGATCGAGGTCATGTGCTCTCTGAAGCCGCGCTGCTTTGGCGGCCGGCGCCTCCGCTTGTCTCTGTCGCAGCGCAGCGCGGAGACGACGAGCGCAAACTGCCGACGCTGCAAGAACCGCCTCGTCGTTGAGCGACGCGCAGCTGCCTTCGGCGCGCAAGCGCCCCCTGCCCAACTCCGCGCGCCGGGCGAGGTCGGTCGCACATCCAACGTCTCGTCTCCGCACCGCTCGCGAGAAGGCCCGCGTAGTGATGGCGCGCGCCGCTGGGGGGGCCTGGCGCGCCTCGCGGCATTGAACATGATATCATTCGCGATGAGAGAGCGCTGAGCAAGAGAGCGACCCCGTCGGTTGGATGGGGAGTGCGAATATCGCGATGGCGTTGAAACTGCGGCAGCTTGAAGAGGAAGTCAGAGATGCGCTGGCATTCGTCTGGCACGGATTCAGCAAGCTTCATACGTAGCGATATGCAGCGATAGGGGGAAGTGACCGCTCGCGCGGGCGTCGCTCAGAGTAGCCGCCACGTGACCCACGCGCAAGCACACAGACTAGTTTCGCCAGACAAACGCTTGATCAATCTCGTCCACGTAAACGTCACAGAACGGCAATCGAACCCCGCTGGATGGCCGTTCTTCACCTCCACCATGCTTCAAAACACCCGCTTCCACAGGGATCGCCGGCGTTGATCCCGCGGGCGCAGCGAAGGCGAGGGCGGGCGAGGGCGCCGACGGCAGCGCCGCGCCCGCCACGGGTGTGGCGCATGAGGACTCGGGCCCATCGCGCACGTCGAAGTCGCCGAACGCCGCGAACAGTCTCTGGCGAGGGGCGGCCGCCACCCGTCGCTGAAGTGGGGCCGCGCAAGCTCAAGAACTGCACGATGCTGCGCCCCAGATCGCGGCCGTCAACCTCCACGGCGGCGAGGCGACACCCCCCCCGCAGCGCGCCTCGAGAAGATCGAGGCGGCCATTGGTGACAGCGCGGCGGCGGTAGGCAGCGACGTCGGCATATTCCTCTACCCTCGCGAGGCAGCGGGGAAGCCGAGGGGCCCGACTACCCGCGAGCGGAAGGCGGGCAGCAGCCGCCGGCGCGCGAAGGGCAGAGGCGCCAGCGGGGCCCGTGGAAGCCGTTGACGGAGACGCGGGGGAAGAACCAGACAAGCCTGGAATAGCACTGGTCCCCGACTCAACGCCCGATGCAGAACGTTCCGGTGCGCCGTGGACCTCGGGCCCAACGACGTCGTCGACTACCTGGGTCAGACGGTGATCGGGGGCCAGAGAAGCCGCGCCGCCTCTCCACGTCTGCTCGGGGCCGCCGCAGAACGTCAGGCGTCGGGAGGGGGCGAAGCTCAGCAGGCAGCGCAGACGGGAGGCAGGGGGCGGGGCGTAGACGGGCGACGGGGCAGCGATGGCCTTCTGCCGAAGGTAGGTCTTGAAGGCGCGGGCACTCTCTTCGCGGCGGCGCGGATTGCAGCAGATCGCGCCACGGGGCCCACGTCGCATCGCGAATTCATCGAGCAAAAAGCGCCTCTGAGGTAGGCCCACGGGGCCGAGCAAGCGCCACCCCCACTGTAGGCCTCGGTTCCCCACGAAGACTGAATGGATCTCGGCCGCGATGCGATCCTCGTTTGACTCCGGCCCGCGACGGGCGGCGCGCGGCTTGTTGAACAAAAGCTTCGCGTCGACATCGGTGCTCCGGCCTAGCTCCTCTTTGACCAGCGGCGCGCCGTCCAGGGCGACGAGGCCCATGGGCATGCGCGCCTGGAAGTGCTCGTCAAGGCACGCTTCACATTGGAGGCGATGAAGACGCCGAGTTCGAATACCTCTTCTGATTTGCCCGGGGCCACGGTCAGCGTTGGCGCATCGCATAGCGGCGACTGTCGCCCCGCAGCTGCGTTGGTGGAGAAGTCGCGCCATGGACTTCCAGCAAGCTTGAGGGATCTGGCAAGCGCTGCTGAGCGCGGGGGGGCGAGCTGTCGACCTCCAAGAAGTTCGGGCGCGAACCGCATGACGGGAGCGTCGCCCACAAGCCCGGCCATGCTGAGCTCGAGCCCAGACTCGGCGATGCACGTCGCGATGCCGTTGTAGACAGCCTGCGGGGACACGATCCCGGGGCAACCGATTAAGTAGGTCGACGGGTCAGGAGCAAGGTCCTTGTCCGCCAGTGCGACAGCCGCAAGAGCAGGTAGCTGGGCCTCCGCGATGGCAAACTGTCGCTGGATATCGGAAGGACATGCTGCCGTTTGGCGCTGAACATCACGATGCGTTGGCGAAGGTCTGCGACGGCTGTCTCGGTGGCGCCCACTCTGCGGTTGGTGGAGACGCGGAGCTGGTCGACGGAGGCGGCACGGGATTTGGAAGCTGCTTGACTGAAGGTTTCAGTGGCTGTGGTGGCGTGTGCGAGTAGTTGAGCATGTCGGTTGTCTGCGATGGACTGGAACGCTGCAAGGGTACCATGCGGGAGAGCGGCTCCATGTCCTTGGCCTTCAAGTCCATGACCCGCTTCAGCATGAGCTGGTGTTCCAGCGATAAGGCAACCTCAGAATTCCGCAGGTGATACGAGGCTCCTTCAGTCAAGCGGAACATGTCCTGTGGAACGGGTCCGCCAGGTGGTGCGGTTCCTCCTGGTGGAACGGGCTTGACGTGTGGTGATTGGATCCGAGCATGTCCTCCTACTTCTCCAGGTGGTACAGGTACTCCATGTGGTACTTGAGGGCAGCGTCGCGCCAGGGGCCCCCACCAGGTCGGTGGAGTGGGTCCGGTTTCGGCACCAATCCTCTTCCAGCTCATTCGGCCGCTAAACCTCGTGCCCTCTTTCCAGAAGTGTCGATGGAGCGCTGCCTGCTGCGTGGTGAGGAGCAACGCTTTGATGTGCGAGCTGGGCCAGGTCGTATTCACATTGTCCACCCAGTGGGACCTCGTGTGCCAGACGAACCAGCCGCTCGAGATTGGCGATGTCCTTGTTGATCGTTTCTTTTGCAGTTCGGTGTCCACGGTCGTGTCAACGGAGAGCAGGGTCGTAGTCAGGCTTGGCACGGTCGTTGCCTTTCCCAAGTGCAGCTTGTGTTGCGACCACCGACGGATGTTTTGGCAGCAATAACGCTGTCCATGTAGACGTCGGTGCGCGACATGGTGCTAAGGCGAGGGAAGAACGACCTGAACGAGCATGGCGCCGTAGAGCAGGACGAAGGACAGCTGCTTGGCTGTGATATGGAGGTCACACGCAGCAGCGCAGCACGGCGACAGGATCAACTCAACCGTCGCGCGGAGCAAGGATATGGAAGCCACGAGGGCACAGTGCGGGTGCCAGCTCTGCTCTCCCTGAGTGGTGCTGGAAATGGTTAGGGACGTTCCGCGGCCCAGCGGTCTCCATGTGGCCGCACGGCGACATGGAAACCTGAGCCAAAATTGCTACGGAGGAGGAGAAAGAGGAGGAGGAAGAGGAGGAGCGCACGTCCATAGGCGAGCCCTGGGTTACTGCCTCGTGAGCGCCGCATGGCGGATTGAAAAGTGTTGCGCATAGCTGCCGAGCGGCTGTGGGGTGTCAGCTAGCTCGGCACGAAGTTTATGGAATATACTGTAAGCGAGACTCGCTAAGTCATGTGCAAGGGCCACCGTGAGATCGGTGTCTTGGTATTCCTCCTCGGATCCCAGGCCAAGCCACAGGAACGGAGGAGCGGTAGGGATATGCAGACGGGGCAGCGCGATGAGGTGAAGCAGGCGGGGGCAAGAGAGGTAGTGGAGGAACGAATCAGGGCAGTCGGGGCAGCCAAATCGGCACTGTAAAGGGGTGAGGATCTTGACTCTGTGGCTGGTGATCCACCCTCCAGCCAAAGTCTTAAGATGAGACCAAACTTTACTGGGCTGCGATCTCGCCAACACCTGCCGGAGACATAGCCACCTGGCTTTGATCTCGTCCTCGGGCAGAGGGTCCAAATTTGGGAACCAAGTGCGGAGTCTTCTGGGCAGAAGCTCGTGGAAACGATCCGGGTACATTGAACTAGTTAGTTTAGCGATGAAGGCACCCTGAGGCCGTTTCCCCCCACTCCCACGACGCAGACGACGAGGCCCCATCCCTTCTTCCATCCGGGTGCCTTCAGCTCTGGGGCTGGCTGCAGCGATCGCCTCTTGAATGCGACTCGCAGGAAAAGGGAGGCCGCGGCAGCCGCGGACGAACTTTCTATAGTGCTGCAGGATTCCTGAACCTTCGGCCCAGCAGTCCGCTGAGAGGAGACCCTGCCGCACTCTCATGTGAAACCCGTGCACGTCCGACCCGTCCCACCACCACTCAAAATCCCCCGCCCAATTAGTCAGAGTGTGCGTGGACGCACGCCATGCGCATCCCAGTGCATACACCTGCACGCTGGTAGGGGTGGAGGAGCGGAGCCGAGGAGGAAGAGGAGGAGGAAGAGGAGGAGGAGGAGGAGGCGAGGGGGAGGAGGAGGAGGAGGAGGAGGAGGAGGAGGAGGAGGAGGACAATGACGACGACGACGAAGAGACGAGGAAGAGGAGGAGGACGAGGAGGGGGAGGAGGAGGGAGGAGGCGAAGGCGGAGGAGAACGATGATGAGGAAGGCGAGCCTGTCGCACGCAGGGCGGCTGGCTGCAAGCCCGCCTTCGAACTCTGCCGATGGCCTGCGCCTCGTAGGCGCGCTGCTCCTGGAGAGGAATCCGCTTTTGCCTCTTGCCGTCGCGCGGCAGGTAAACAACAACAAGGCGAGAACGGATCTCTGCGCCCCCTCCCCCAGGGGCGCACGTCCTTGGCCTCTGCTTCGGGGGCTGCTACAGGTGTCCCTGGCCCAAGTTGCCCCCAGCTTTCCGCTCGCCTTTGGAGCCCCTGGGGCTCTCTGGGCCTCGTGAGGGTGCTCTGGAGGCCGTGGGGGCGTCCAAGGAAATCCTCGGGGCACCGAGGGCCAGAGGTACTCCTAGCAACGCACGGCTGCTCTTCCAGAAAACGGACACCCGAGCACTCCGTGCGGACTTACTCCGAACGGGCTTGGCACCCTGTCAGAAGAGGCCAAGTCCGGACGGGAGAAGCCCAGACGGAAATCGAACACTCCGCACTTCCTCCTCACGGATTGTTGGCATCCTCCGGGCCCCTCCCCACAGGGGCACATGGCCCCATCCTCGCTGTTTCCCGTGAGCGGAAGCCCGGGCCCCGTCGGCCTATAACTGGGGGGAGCAGCGGGTAGGGCCCCACCCATATTGACACTTCTTGGCGGTCTCGGCCTCGCGCGCACCGCCGAGGCGGACAAGGTCCCCAAGCGAGACGAGCGCGCGCACAGCCAGCCCCTCAGGAGAACGGCAGGGATCCCATAACACCACAACCACACCCACACACGCCTCTTGCCGCCGCGGTGCACGACAACAAAAAACAGTATGAACAGCAATCATGTCGATACAGGGCGCTCTTGTCGCTGCCCGCGCGTAACTCAGCATGGGTATCCCAAGAAATCGATACCGGCCCTTTGTGTTCGATCGTACCCCCTGCACTGGGGTATACTTTCTTTGCCTGGCATGCGAAGGTGGCACGGCAGAAGCACACTGGAAAGGAGGGGGGCACGAGGAAGGGACGAAGATCGAGGGCGAAAAAGATTTGGCAGGAGGGGCAACAATGATAACAATACTGTTGGCGAAAGGATCCTGACGGGCGCGCAGGCCCTGACGAGCGGCTCGGGCTGGCGGACCTTGACGTGCGGGTCGGCGGGTGGGGCATTAAAACAAGCGGGCGGGCTTCCGAAGAGGTGAACGGCCAGACCCTGACGGGCAGGTCATGCGGGTGGACCCTGAAGGGCAGGTCGGGCGCAGACCCTGGCGCTAGCGGGCGGCCCGGGTGGGCCGACCCAAACGGCGGGTCGGGCGGGAAATTGAGGCGGGCAGGCGGACTTCCAAGCAGGCGGTCGGGCGGGCAAGCCCTAACGGGCAGGTCGTGCGTGCGGGGCATTGAGGCGAACTTCGTAAATGTGCGTAGAAGTTGCAGGCGAGATCACGAACCTGGTGTTACTTGTGACAAAAGCCATGCGCGAGAGGGCGACGCATGGAAATCGAAAGCGCACTTGTTCAAATCGATTGCGAGGGGGTCCTAAGCGATAGCGCAATTCCTGAACAAGTTGCAGGAAGTTCTCTAGCGAGAGTACGGTTTTGAGTGTAAGCTTAAAAGAAACGTTGGGTTGGGGCCGTTGCTGTTGTGCTCGGGGGGGGGCAGGTGCGCACTTTAACCAGAAAGACCTTCCCTGACAAAACACAGGGTGTTAGCACCAGGGCTGGTGGGGCGGAGTGGTTGTCTTAGCAGAAATGTCCAGGGGGGGTCTGGGAACTGCCACGCCCTACTGGGTTGTTTCGTGATATATCAGGCGCACTGCAATTGAAACTGATGCTCGTCGGACAGGGGGGATCAACCATATGTAAGTTTTGCAAGTTCAAGAACGACAACAAACAAACAATTGTAAGTCGTGGGCTCGGCGGACCTGTGAGCCGTTCGTAGCAAGCGCTGCGCCATAGCGAAGCGAATTGTGCACACGGGAGCCCGATGCGCGGGGAGAGAAGCAGCCGTGCAGAGAGGGTAACAGAGGGCTGCGCAGTCAGAACATGCAGTCCTGGAAGCGGAGTGTTGCTCCAGGTGCGCAAGGGTGGGACCGTCCAATACAAGTCAATCTCGACCGTGGGAGCAGGCGCTGCAAACGTAGCGGACTGCGACGGAATGGTGTGAACGCGTTGGCGTTCCCAAGGCAGGAGTCCAGGTGACGGTTACAATGCCGAAGAGCCGCCGACTGCAGTGCGGACGAAGTAAGCAGCCCAACCGATGGGGTGCCTGCCAAAGCTGAGAGACTTCGAGGGCGACCACGGCGGTGCCCACGTGAGCAGAGAGAACCATGGTGAAGAATAGGAGAGCCGACGCCTGCAGCAACCGCGAGGCCCAGTCCAACAGATGGGGTGCCTTCCAAATCTGGCAGGTGACGAAGGCGACAGCAGTGGAGCCCACAAAGGTGGAGCGGACGGAGGCCGTTGGCGGGGCCACGACAACGACAAACAAACTAACAGACACACAGACGGACTAACAAAAAACTGGCAGACAGACAGGCGAACAAACAAACAGACAGACAGGCAGACAAGCAAACAAAACAGACGTGCTTCCTGACAGCCAGAGCCCCTTCCCACCCCCACCAGGGCAACACTGGCACCGCTGGCCGAGCCGACCTCTCGCCCTTCCTGGGTGGGGATGGGTGCCGACCAGATCAGATCAACATGGACCCTGGAAGGCGATACCCTCTCTAGGACGGGAACCACATGATAATGGTTCTGGCTGAGTGTCTGGCGGCCCTCGTGTCTGCAACCCGTGGGGAACATGAGGGAGTCCAGGAAGTCCTGGAAATCTTGGAACGTCGTAGTTCTCATTCTCGTGACCTCTGGCTCCTCTGACTCTCAGGAGCGGCCCATGTCACAAATCGCTGCGTCCACCGTGACAGAGAAGGGCCAAGCCTCGGCGGACCCAGCGACCATCGGGTGCACGAGCAGCACGTGGCTCGCGTGGGTCATGTTGGTGCCGCTGGCGGAGTCCTGGAGGCGCAACACCCCACCCCTCGCACCCTCACTCCCTCCCGCCCTCCCTCCCTCCGTTCCCTGACCTCCTCGCATCGCACGGCGAGATGTTTTCATGGTTTTCGGCTTCTGGGGGCCAGTACCGTGCCCCTGGCTCGTCGCCAAAAGACTCAGGATCAGGGAGGGCACCCGCTGCACAGCTTTCAGCCACGGTGCGGTGGGCATTTCTCTTAAGCTAAGTTCTGGACCTTCTTGCGATCCAGGACATGCGCGACTTGTTCATGGCACCTTTCGACAGACCGAGTGTTGGCAGAACGGTGAGATAAGGTGAGACGGAGCTCGGTTCCAAGCTTGATCTGCATCCCAACCATGGAGGGAAGGAGAGGGCCCGAGTGACGTGAGGCACCAGCCAGGAAAGGTCGGGGACGCGTCACCACTTTAGACCAGGATACCTCATCTGAGAAGCAACGAGCGAGGCCACTGCACATTATGGCTGATGGCGCTTGCAAGAACTCTAAGAAGGCAATGCGTTCCAGCACGACCGAATTTCGCTCCCCTGCCAAGCCTTGCGTTGCATTGCTTCACCGTAGTGAGCAACTTCGGCTTGCAAGTCGTTAGAACACACGCACACTACACATGCTAGCAACGAATCAGGACTAGCGCGACAAAAGGTGTGACGGGATATGCGCCATAGCGACAATACCGTAGCAGCAGGCTGTGCACGGTTGCCGCTGCGAGCGCCAAATTACAATGGCGCCACGGACTCTCCAAGACAGCGTGCTTTCACCCAGCTCAGAGGCTTACATGCTGTGGAATGCCATGTGGAACGGGGTGGACCGCGTGGTTGCATTCGAGATGCGCACCTTGGCCCACCCTACGCGTTCCTTCTCAGAAGCGGGAGCAAGGTAGCGCCCTGGGGGAGCGGAAGCGGGAGGAAGGGAGAGCGAAGCGGGACGAAGGGGGGCGAAGGGACAGTGGGAAAGGGGCGCCCCCCGCGCGCAGCGAGGTCCGGGCGCCCTTGGCTGAGGCAGGTGCAAAGGCAGCCAACGCGCCCGCCCTCGCCCGGCACCCTCGTCCCGTGCTGCGGCCGCTTCTTTCTCGCGCCCGCAGCGCGGCCTCACCTCAGACGCGGCCTGCCCACGCCCACCGCTCTGGAGGGGCGACGTGGGGGGACCAGCGCAGGAGGGGGGCCATCGACCCAGAATCGGCGATGCACCGCCGATAGATCGGCGACGGGTTCCGATAACGCAACCGCACGCTCCTGGGCGGGGTGGGCTACTGGGCCCTGTCGGCGATCGATGGGCGAGTTCGTGTCGATGCTTCCCCCGATGAGCTGTCCCCCCCAAAACGTTGCCGGGTCAGAACTCTGCTCTGCGGCCGGCGTTGGGGACGATCCGGGCACCCCCGGAACGCTCACGACGAGGCGCCGCCGCTGGAAGGCACCCCGAAGCTCGACAACCGCCGGGAAGCGGCGGAAAGGCCCAAAAACTTCGGACCTTGGCCTACGGTAGGTTCGTGTCGTGTCGACCCCGGCGTTGGTCCCTGATACCGCGGGGATCGTTTCACCTAGAACGGTCGGCCGTTTCCGAAACGTTCGATCGTTCAACATCGACTGATTCTGGGTCGCCAGCGGCGTTCAACGTGGAACGCCGGCGGCGGGGTCGCCGACGGTCGGCACGACACAGACCTACCGTGTCCCCCCTGACGTTGCACCCGAGTTCTCCGCGCGGCCGCGGCGCAGCGCTGGCAGTCGCCGGCGCGCGCAGCCCGCGCCGTTGCCATGGTACGCTCCGCGCCCACAGCGAGAAGCACGCCACCGGCGGCGCCGAGGAAACCTCTCGGGGAAGGGGGCGGCGAGCGGCACAGAGGTTTGGACGCCCTTCATGGCTACGGAAGAAGTTGTACAAAATGCCCGACAAGAAATAGTGTCCAGAACCGACAGCGGCCGCTGTTGGGCAGGCGGCGCGGACAGCGAGTCCTGTTGAAAACGAGCAGGATCTGCTGTTGGGCATCGTACCCATTCTTTCCGTCTCCATTTCGATCGTCCTGGAGAGGGGACCTCCGCCACCGTGCAGAGATGCCCCCTCCCCTGCAGGGAGACGTGTCCAGTCCAAGGAGACGAGATGAGGACGACGAGTTACTGTGCGATGGCATGTGCTGGCAGCTCCTACTCGGGCCGCCTGCAGCCCCGAAGTCGGATGGACAGGCAGTGGAGCTGGCGAAGATCAGCGTCGAGGTGGGATGGGAGCCATTGTGTTCGGTAGACCGGACCTTCTGGCATGCTGGCTGGTGGGGAGCCCTGTGCCACTGGGCAGTGCAGGGTCTGCCCTCGAACCTTCGTTGCTGGAAGGGCTGTCTCTTGACGTGCCCAACCCAGCCACCCCCCTGGGAGGGACCCGCTGATCGTTGACTCAGGATCGACACATTGCATCTAACATCGGGTGAGGAGGCAAAAGTGACCAGTTTGAGGGGGGATGGGGCCTGACGGTTTTGCAATATTTTTGGAAGTTGCAGACCAAATTGTGGAGGTTTGCCGATGCATTTCGTAGATTTCGGACTTCGATGCATCTTTTGTTAGGAGGTAAGCCTCTAGTCAGCAAGTGAAGAGAAGAGATTCACTGCTTCCCCACATGGGGGACTCGCCTGGTGCTACACTCACCCTTGCCTGGGCGACCCATGGTGTTTCAGACACATCAACCGCGAGGGAGGCGCAGAATTACGAGAAGTTGCTGGCAATGGGCGAACAATCACACCATGGCTTGGCAGCCGTCACTGTGCGCTTTGCTGCGCGACGGCGACGGCAAATGTAACGAGCTGTGCTCCGCATGCACCGAGGTCCGAAAAGCTACCAATCGTTTCCAAATTTCTTGCGAACGCGTGATAATGTCATGCCCATGCACAAGTTCACCATCTGCTACGGACACACAAAGCAGCAACAAAAAAGGTATAGGCAGGCTTGGCGCCACCGGGTGCTGGAGGCACCTTACACGCCTTCTCCCCTAGTGGTGACGGCCGGCGTCGTGCACTCGGTCCGGAGTAGGGGGGAAGGGGGACAACGGCAACAGCAACAAGGCTGGGATCCCATGAAATCCCCATGAAAGAGAACGAGGAATGTCCATGATAGTTGCCGGCGTTGACGCATGTCCGCAAAGACGAGGAGAAACTCTGCTGGGAACTGTATGGGAAGCTATATACAGTCCCACCACATACTGCATAGGACCCTATACAGTCCCGCCACAGAGAGTACAGGAACCTAGAGTTCCGCCTCAGACTGCATAGGATCCGTTGCAGTCCCACCACAGACTGTACTGGATCTTATACGCTCCATGCCAAAGAGTTTACAACATCCTATACAGACGCCACTCCTGACACGAAGCGTATCGGATCTTATTCAGTCCCGACACCGAGTGCATCGGATCCTGCAGTCCTGCAACGGTCTTTTTAAGATCTTATACACTCCCGCCGCGCACTGCACCATATCCTTTCTATACACTCCCGCCGACGAATGTATGAAATCCGATATACTTCCAACCCGGACTGAATCAGATCCGATACACTCCCGCCACGGACTGTGCTATATCCCATACACGGCCAATGCGGACCGTATCAGATCATATACACTCCCCACACGGACTCTACAAGATCCTATACACTCCAGGCATGGACTGCATCCGATCCTCAACACTCCCGCCACGGACGGTACCGGACCCCATACACTGCCAATAAGGACTGCATCACAGCCTATACATTCCCCACACGGACTCAATAACATCCTATACACCCCCGCCCTGGACTGTCTCGGATCCCCTGCACTCCCGAGACGGACTGTGTAAGATCCTCTTCACTTTCCACACGGACTGCATCATATTCATGTACGAAGTCCCATACACTCGCCACACGGGCCGTATCATATCCCATACGCTCCCGATACAAACTGTTTCAAATCCTACACACTCCTGGCACGGACTGTGTCAGAGCCTGCACACTCGAGCCACGAACTGAATCAAATCCTATCCACCCCCGCCACGGACTGTACCAGATCCTATACACTCCCCACACGGGTTCTATCGGGCAATATACATTCCCGACGCGTGCTGTATCAGATGCCATAAACTCCCGCCACGGACTGTATAAGATCATATACACGCCTGCCACGGACTGCATCAGATCCTCGACACTCCCGCAACGGACTGTATGACATCCAAACGATCTCGACACGGACTCGATAAGATCCTATGAACTCCCGGCGCAGACTGTTACCATGTCCTGCGCACTCCCCACACGGAGTGTGTCAGATCCTATACACCCCCGACACGGATTGTACCAAATCCTATGCACCCCCCACACGGGCTGTATTAGATCCCATTCAGTCCCCCCACGGATTGTACACGTTCAGAGCACTCCCCACACGGAGTTTTTCAAATCCTGTAGACCTCCGCCACAGAATGTGGAAGATCCTATACACTCCCGCTGCGGACTGTAGTCGGCTCTACCAACTCCCCACACAGACTGTCTCAGGTCCTATGCACGACCCGCACCGACTGTACCAAATCCGATACACTCCCCATTCGGACTGCACCGAACCCCATACAGTCCCGACACGGACTGTATCAGACCCAATACAGTCGGGGCGCGGGCTGTATCGGATCCCATACAGTCCCGCCACGGAATGAATAAGGTCCTTGACGCTCCTGACACACAGAGCATAACATGCCATACAATCCCGCCAAAGGCAATGGAATATCCGATGCAATCCCTGGACGGACTGTACGGGATGCGGCACACTCCCGCCACGGACTGTATAGGATCCGATGCACCACGCCACAAACTGTACCAGATTCCATACAGTCCCACCACGGACTGTATAAAAACCGATGCACTCCCCACACGGACTGTATCAGATCCCATACAATCCCGCCACGTTCTGCACAAGATCCTGTACGGCTTACCAGGCATCCTGGACTTTCTTCGCGGCAGTGGGCTCAGCGTGGAGAGAGTTCTCTGTGAAATTGTTTGGGCGGTGCCGATACGGAACGGAGGCCCTGACGACATCGGGCTGCTGGGCGTGCGGCTTACCAAGCATCCTGGGCTTCCTTCGCGGCAGGGTTCTCATGGTGCGCGGGGGACCAGGTTGGGGGGAGCCTCCAGGTAGTACTCTTCTCCGCTGTGCAAGGCGAGATGCCACTTCGCCTGCCTCGATGCCCAGACTGCCCCAGACAGCGGTGCCACACGCGCGCTCACTGCTTCTTCTGCTTCTCCGCGATGTCTTTGCGGAGCTCCATCCTCTTGACCTTGATGACCATAATTGAAGCCTCCTTCAACAGCAGGATTAAAGCAAGAAACTGACAACCGATCAACGGCACGCCAACTATCACGCACATGAAGCTGCCGCGCTCGTCGAAATACTGCTGACTCGAGAAGCTCTTCCAGTGCTGGCCAGCCCATCTGTTGACCCGCTCGGTTGCACCTAATACGATGCAGTTCACCATGAATACAACGGCGAGGCGCTCCCAGCGCTTTCGATTGGCAACCACCAACAGGATAAGAAGTGCTTCGACCACGAAGATCGCAAAAATCCAGCGGTCGCTCTGCCAGTCGATGGCATGCCCGAATGCCTGGACGTCCTCCCAGAAGCTACTGGTATAGCCGTGAGGCCCTCTCAGCACCTCTGAGAGCAGCGCGTCGACGGGGTGAGCCTCTTCACCACCTGGCGGCTGCGGAGCCGACATGGCCGCGTGGAACCAGTCCAGCCGGGCTTCGCTGCCTGGAGCACAGCGGCTATGGCCCTGGACGTACGCGCGCCCCTGCCATCCTATGCTGGCTTCTTCCTCTTCGTCTTCTTTCGAACGATACCATCATTCCTCGTCGACCTCCCTCTTTCAACCTTCCATCATCCCGCTGCCCTCCTGTTCTAGCTCCTGAGACGGCGGCTCCGATCGTAGTGGAACTTTGGTGCGCGGGTCTGGTGACAAGTGCGGAATACAAACTGACAAGTGGAATGGAAATGGTGGAAATCCGTCGAACCTCGCTTGCCGGGTGTTAAAGAGCTCGTACCCCCTCCCCACGGGTCAAAATTCCAGTTCAGGGGGGAGGGGGTAGAAGCTTTTCAACGCACCCCGAGTGCTCTCCGGACCTGCAGAGAGCCCAAAACGGGCCAAGAGGGGAGCGCCGAGACAGTCCAAGAGAGCATCGAGACGGCCCAGGGTAACCCCACGATGGTCCAAGATGGCTTCAAGACAGCCCACAGACCCCAAGATGGCCCAAGAATACTCGCAGAGGACTGCCGTGAGGACCACAAGCCGCAAGATTCGCCCCATTCCTTGAAGAAACCGTACATGTTCGACATACCCTCCCGCTTCGCCTTGACAGCGTCCAATACGGCACGAGAGGCCCCCAAGATCGTCACAAGACGCCTCACGAGGCCCCCCTCAAGAGGGCCCGAACAAGGCCCAACACAGCCCCAAGGCGGCCCCAGGGGCCCCTCAGACGGCCCACAAACGCCCCGAGAAAGGCCCAAGAGAAGCAAAACGAACTGACCTCTCGAGCCTTTCCTCGCGTCATGGCCCCAGAAGCCCAAAGTCTCCAAGACGCCCAGAGGCTCGAGGCCACTACAAGCAAACCAGTTGCCACCAAAAGCCTTCTAAAAGGCCCCTGGGAGACATTCCAATAGACATCCATTCTAGACGCTCTTCCACAAAACTCCCAGCCAGCGCCCACCAGGAGCCGATCAAAGGCTCACCAAAGCCTCCACTGGAGGCCTCCCAGAAGCCCTCAAGCAGAACCGTGACAAACCCCAACAGGGCCCCCTTGTACCCAGAAGTTCCTTCCTTCCTCCCTCAACCCTCCTCCTTCCAACCTCTGCTCCTCCTCCTCCTCCTTATCCTCCTCCTCATCCTCCTCCTCCTCCGCCTCCTCATCCTCCTTCTTCTCCTTCGTTCTTGCGGGCGAACAACAAACACCCACCCAGCCACTCCAGCTCCAGCAGAGCCTACCGAATAACCTGGACGTCTCTACGCCGCTTGAGGTCGGCGGCATGGCGCAGGCCACTTGAACAGCTTGCGACAGTGGGAGGCTGAGAACATAGCTCCGCTGCTGGTGCACTGCCCGCCTCTCCTCCTCCTCCTCCTCATCCTCCTCCTCCTCCTCCTCCTCCTCCTCCTCCTCCTCCTCATCATCATCATCATCATCATCATCAGCATCATAATCATCATCATCATCAGCATCAGCAGCATCATCATCATCATCAGCAGCAGCAGCAGTATCATCCTCATCAGCATCAGCATCATCATCAGCATCATCAGCATCCTCATCAGCATCAGCATCATCAGATCCTCATCAGCATCAGCATCAACATCAGCATCAGCATCAGCATCATCATGCTCCTCCTCCTCGTCCTCTTCATCGTCTTCCTGCTCCGCATGGAAACATTGCACAGAGGGAGGCAGAAAGGGGCAGGATAAGGTGTAGGGCCAAGCTGGCCGCCAGAAACATGTTTTCGGCCGCACGCGCATGCCCATACAGACCTAGTGGGTGCGTCTACCATTGGGCACGCTCCTGATCCATCAAGAAAAATCAGGCCTTCGGCTGGGTACAGTACGCCATAGCCTCTTTTGAGGCGCATGGGTGAACGTGGCCTGAGCAGTGGCTTCGCCGACGCCCTCTTCACAGGGCTGCAGAGGTGTGCAGCATGGAAATGCTACGTTCCCACGGTCCCCCACCCCAAACCCCCCTTGAACCGGCTGCACCCCGCTGCCGGGGCCCCCCCCCCCAAAAAACAACCCTCCGGGCGCCGAGGGGCGGCCCGTGCACCGGGGAGCGAAGCACCTGGCGGAAGAGTCGGAAGCACCTGCGCGCAACAGAACAGTCGGATGCTCGTTCTGGGGACCTCCTCCTCCTGCTCCTCCTCCTCCT